GAACTAACAGAATTGCTAAAAGAATTACTATTAGTTCTATTTTAATTGATAAGAACCAGTTGTCTATAGTTGTTTGGAATGATTTATTAGAATTTAAGCCCTTAGTTTAAATTTATGCCATACTCATTCTTAAGAACTGATCTTATATTTGTTTTAATAATCTATTAGTATAAAATTGATATAAACTTGTATAGTTTTTGTTTGTATTAAGATAGTATTTTTTATATAGCAGTACATAGAAATTTTCAACCAGTATGTTGTTTTGTATAATTTGTTTGCTATAGTCTTCAATTTCTACAAATTGAAATTTTGATATGGATCTTGAAAAATATATTTTTTCATTTTGGCCTTAACCAGGTTTTTTAATATGTGGATTTCTATTGAAATAGTGGGTTTCTTGTTTTATCTATATTTTTTGATAATATTGATCCAGGCAAATATGAATGTATAGTTCTCTTCAATACTTCTGTGATTAGAATGTATTTTGATAAATTCAGTTGATATAAAGTATATTTGAGCTGATTTAATAATGTTTATCTTCCTATTATTAGTTGTTAATATATCTTTGCTTCTGGTTCAATAGGGTTTTTTGTTGATATTGCTTATACTTATTTGCCAATTTTATTTTCTTGAATTAGCTGATTTCTCTATTGTGAAGGATAATATATCTTGTAGTACCCAGTTGTATCTTGTCCAGTTTTATTTCCAGCACTTCAAATTCATTTTCCAATACTTGTTTTGCTAAGTAATATCAACTTGAAACTAGTTCTCATTTGTGGTTTTGAAATTCTTGTATTAATTTCTAGTTTAAAAGAGTATTGGATTCTTTATCTATAAGCTGGTCTACAAATATAATGTTGTGTTTTTTTAGTGAGATTATTGCCTTGTTATAAACTTTGGAATTATTTAATATATTTCAAAATTCCTAATGGTGATGTTTTCTTAGATTTTTTAATATAAGTTATAAGTCAACCATGTAATTAAATTTTTTTCAGTTTGTTCTTTGGCTTTATAATCTATTTTTTAATATTTTTACATTCATCCTATAAATATTATTGTCCATCTAGAAATAGAAAAAAGATTGCACCAGATATTGCTATATATCCAAGTAATATTTATATTAAGAAACCTTCTCTTCTATATCCTGAACCTCCTCCTAGTGATACACCTATAAGGTTATTGATTTAGTGTATATTATATTCTATTTAATATTATATTTTTATATAGGAAGAGCCATATGTAAGGATAGTATATGAGGTGGCTTTAATCAAGACATCAATGTCTAGGAAATCAAGTATTAGCATTGGATGCATCAGCAATACATGCGATGCGTATTTGGGATTAAGATTTATAAAAAAAGGTCTATAAAGAATGCACAAGGGCAATATTATTATTCGATGACTGTATGTCTTGCCCATATGTTTTATTACAGTATTTTGCAGTTTTGTATTTATAAGTTTTTTGAGTATAGGCTAGGCTCTGGCATCAAGGAGTAAGTAAATTCTGAATGTGGGATTTTGGGACTCTTCAAATTGGATCTCAAGTTGAAACTGGATGCAATACATCAAATATTTCTGATTACCAAGTTAGCATTCCAATATCAGATGTATTCTGAAACCTATCAATCATTGCATTGTGGCTGGATATACTAAGATAGTTTTTAATACAATAAATGCCAATAATTTCAATATAGATCTATACCAAATCAGAAGTTGGTATTATGTTATCAGAATAGCTATCAAAACTTGAGAGTTTTATTTCATGTAATTTATTTTTGCTTAGTTATGAACTTCGATCAGTTAGATTAACATTATATGAATCAAGCATAAACTGTCACAGACTCAATTACAGCTAGTAAAAGTACTGTATATAACCTTATAAAATAATCTATTCAGATCTATCATATATAAGAAACTTTACATTGAAGATGATATAGTAATGATATAGTCATGATTATTTTTTTTAGTAGAATGTTTTCTGTGTTTAAGACTTATATTTTTAATCTGTCTATGCATAAATATAAGTGTATAATATATATCAGAACAATAATATTACTTTATTATATAGATATCAATAGGTACAAACTCATAAATCAAAATTTAAATAGATCTATGCCTTATATAAAAAATACAGAAGATCAATTATGGAAAAGACATCAACTCAAAAAATAGACTCAATAAATTGGAAAAAATATAACAGATATTGTTATTGATAACACTGAACTTAGAGCTAGTATTGTGAAATTAAAATATAATATAGATGAACATAAAAAAATTAGAATAAAAGAAATTGTAAATTTCAGAAAAAATGTATTCAAATTAGTCCAGATCTTAACAAGATTAAATATCAATCATCTTTTATAAAGAATCAGAAATCAATTCCTTTTTTCATTATAATCGAATTGCATTGGAGATTCAAGAAGCACAGCATTGGTTTTACACACTATAGTAGGTGGCCAAAAGTTACCGAACAGTTTAAATGCCAATAGTAAATTTTTTATTTTACTAATTATATTTATAAAAAAAATTTTTTTTTAAATATATATTATTTTATTAATATATTTAATATATTAATATTTTGTAAATCTCCCATGTGTCGAAATCACAGCCAATACTTATCTTGATATGCTATTTACCAGTAATTCAATCATTGATACAAGAATTTTTTTCCATATAGATTTGACAAACTTTTTAAGTTCTGTCAAATTACATGGCTTATTTTTATAATTTTGAATACTCTTCTTAATCTTAGCCTAAAGATTTTCTATTGGGTTTAGGTTTGGGCTTTGTGCAGGCCACGAAAAAGAATAAACAATTTTTTTTACAAAATTCTATAGTCATTTTTGAATGGTGAGGTTGTGCATTATCATTTTGAAACCAGTAGTCACCATTGGAAAACATATGTCATAATATAGGCAATGCATACTTTCGAAAGATCTCAGTATATGATTTTTCAGTTACAGAACTGTACAATGAAACTATTAGACTCACTTCTTGTCGTGAAAAGCATCCAGTACATTCGACTTGAACTGTGCTTAACAGTTTTTACAATGCAATCCAAAAGCCACTCTTCTCCTGGTTCTCTCTAAACATGACTATTTTGAAGTTGTTGGAACTGTAAAAATGTAGATTCATTACTCCATAATACTTTGGACCAATCATTTGTCATTCAATTCTTATGTTCTTTATATTATGCCAACCATGCTTTGATATTCTTTAGCAAAATCAAAGGTTTGTATCAGGTAATACAACTTTTTAAGCCCATAAGATCAAGAGTACGATGGATAGTACATATGGAAAGTATCTAACCAGTTTTTTTTTGTTAAAGAGTTTGTATTTTGTTAACTATAAGATGATGATTTTTTTTAATAACCATTTTCTTGAAATGGTTGCATTGTGATGCCTTGACAAGACAAGGTCATCTGATTTAATGTTTCAGTACAGTAGAATTTGTTTTGACATGACGTTTTACAGTATCAAAAGCTGTAGTACAATCACAATCAACTCTTTCAGCTATTTGGGTATAAGAATTACCATGGCTGTGTCCGTAAATAATAGAAGCCCTCTGTGCTTTCATTAGTTCTTTTCTTGACATTTCATGTAGATCATCTAAAAAAAAAGAATCAAATTAAATTAATGTATAATAAATTAAATAAATAAATAATAAATAAATAAATTTTTAAATAAATAAATACATAACTATGACTTGTTTATAATACAATTTCGTGTAAATTGGAAGTCATGGGACCTCCCCAAAAAATTTTTTTAAACTGTTCGGTGACTTTTGGCCACCCAATGTAGTTGGTATAAGTAAGTTAAAAAATTTGATGATATTATTAACCGTGATCGAAAGAAAAGAACCCTGTTTAAATCAATAGGTTCTATCTTATTGAGATATGGTATGAGAAGAATCCAGAAGTTATTATTCCTAAGATTTATAAATTTATAGGGTTTACTGTATTGATATGAAGATCTTTATTCTTGATTGACTTTAATGATTGAATATAATGACCGCATCATGCGCAATAGAATTGTAGCATATTCATAAATTGTATTTTTCTTTTGCTCAAACAGAATAAGACGATTACTTTATCTATTCAAAGATATGTCCTATATTTGATAAAGATTATAAGAAAGAAAATGCATGAGATAATTTAAAAGGCGAGTGGGTAGTGGCGATTATGTCAATACAGAAACTTATGGTATCAGTTGATAAAAAATTATCAAAATACAATTCAAATAGTAACCGTGAAAGCATAAACTAATAATTTTCGCGCTTATCTATTGATGATTAAATGCTATATAGCTGGAAGACCATTGATTATTTGTATAAGTTGCAAGTATACACAAAAATCAGATAAAACAAATGATGCAAGTAAGAGTTTAATCTTTAGAATAATTTATCTATTAGAACACTAAATGCTAATACAATTCTTTCTAGCTAGGTATATCACAATTGTAATTTGGGTATACCTCACACGTTTACGTGTATATCTGTTGGTTACATATTTACATCTGTTTACTATTCTACTATTTTAGAAATTCCCACTTTTAAAATTTTCTACATAAATTTCTCACCTTACTTTTTACTAATTATGACACATAACGCATTTGCATGCATCTTCTGTAACAACATAAAGCCTTTTGGCTATATACTGTTTATACTAAATAATATGTTATGTATTGTATGTGATTATCAAATAACATTTATGATTTGATTATTTATTCTGTGAATACACAAAATTTAGTGTGACTTGAGAATTGACTTGTGCATGTCATTAATATGCTGTACATAGTCACATTGTACAGTAATACTATAGGTAATCATGATTATGTAAATTTGTACGATTTTTTTGTCTAGACTTTCAGTAACATAGCGTATACGTACTGTACCATAGTCTTTCTATCGATTGTTGTTCGTAATTTAAACAATTGATTATAACATATACGTACCATAGTCTTTCTATCGATTTTGTTCGTACTTTAAACAATTTATTATAAATGGACTCACCCACAATCCATAAAAGATGGATTGAAGATGCCATTAGTAGTAAACATATGACAGAGTTTGATTACAATTCGTTTAGAGAAATTAGCATTGTTTTAACAACACCAATGGCGAATGTTAAAAAGGCGTATCAAATAGGATTCGATAGGAACGTTATTATCAAATGTTTAAGAGATGATCAGTATAAAATTGAATATGAATATTATAGAAGTTTTACAAGAGAGGTAGGTTTCTCACTAATAGATAGTTTAAACCGGTAGGGATTTAATTTGATTAAGGCTTATTAATAAATAGGTTCAGAATTTAACAAGGTTAAATGAATTTGACAACAAAAACATAGTCAGGTTTTTAGGAATTAGCAAAGGTAAGATACTTACAGCAATAAGTATAGTCGCACATGTTTTTTTTTTAAAACTGCGACTAATACTTATTATTTAGAACCATCCCTAAAATTTTACTATATGGTATTTCAATATACGTATGGTCAAGATCTCAAAAATTATTTGCAAAAAAAGTTCACGGAATTGGATTGGCCGAAAAAAACAAACATGGCAAAAGATATTACCAATGGTGTTTGTTATATTCACCGTGCAAATATAGTTCATCGTAATTTGGTAAGTATTATGGTAAACTTTAGATCTTTACGTGAGGTTAAACAATGATTTTTATTAATATATAATTCATAATATTTTAATAGAATCCAAAAAACATTCTTGCCTATAATGGCAGATTAGTAATTACCGGGTTTGAATTTTCAATATCTCTTGATAGATCAAATGAATATTTCGAAACTCACGATTATTTGGAATATTTGGACTCAGAATCAATAGTATACATAGATCCACTACTCCTCTCAACATATGGTAGAAAAGATAAATCATCAGATTCTTATAGTCTCGGGGTTTTGTTATGGGAAATATCAAGTGGTATTCCTTTTTTTGGTGATAGGCTTAATCTGGACAAGGAAGTTTTGATGAATGAACTTATATCCGGATCTAGAGAAAATCCCGTTGATGGA